AAGCTGACCGCAGTCAAGAACCCCATAAAGCCAAGGACAATATAAAACATTGTGGTTGAACCTTCATTACATTGCAGGACAGTTTCTTCAGCCAGGGAATGCATGTCAGCATCTGGGAATGGGGCAGAAATTGCCAGCCACGCTACACAAATGATGAATTGAGCCAGGGAGCAAGACAGGACAATCGTGTTGGCCAGCCTTTTCCCCACCCATTTCCTCATTTTGGAGCCTGGCTTGGTGGCCATGAAAGCAAGAACCACCATGGTTGTTTTCCCCAATATACAAGAAAGAGCTGCAGAGAAGATGATGCCAAAAGCAGGCTGTCTCAAGAGACATTTCCCTTGGTCAGGTTGCCCAATGAAGAGCAAAGTGCAAAGGAAGGAGAGGAGGAGAGCAATGAGAAGAATGTAGGTGAGGTCCCTGTTGTTGGCTTTGACAATGGGAGTGTCCTGGTATTTAATGAAGATCCCCAGTACCACAGCTGAGATGAAAGAAAAGAAGAAAGCAACACTTGTCAAGATGATTCCCAAGAGTTCTTCATAAGACAAAAATGTGATCCGTTTTGGAATGCAAATATTTTTAGCTTTATTTGGATATTGATCTTCTGAACACCAAAAACAGTCATCTGCATCTGAAAAAGAAATCATCCCAGTGATACTTAGAAAGTTAATAAGTGACAAAAACAAGCTAACATTCAAAGTTACATCTGAGCTCTTTTTATTTCTACTTTGATGAGTTAAGAATGAAGAAGTCTGGATGTCCACATACATTTATATCCTTTCTGGAAAAGGAGCCTTAACATGAGAAAACTTGATCAATACTTTTATATTAATATCTCTGATGTACTACAAGTATAAAAACTCTCTGTGGAACAGGAGAAAGGAGGAACATATGATATGATTTAAGGCAACTCCTTTTTCCTGATTCAGAAACCAGCCTATGTTTTATTCTTTGAAAATTCCTTTGTGGGTTGCCAAATAATCAGTTCGTTACTCTTTAGTCTTACTTTACTTGATGATAAGAATAGGAGGTAGATTTGTTGATATTAGATTTTTTGGTATTTCCTAACAGTCCTCTTTTCCGATAAGTCATTCATGTAAGAGAGTACTTCCTTTCCCCTCTCCATGTTCAGTCCTTAATGGATATTGCTTAATTTCACAAAGCAGGAGAATCTTATGGAGAAAACCCCTCTACATGGGCTTGTCCGGATTCCCTGTTGTATTCTGAGGAAGCCATGATGAAGCAGGCTCCTGAGAAAAGGAGACTTGAGAATATTATTAGACCAACAGGAATTCTTGTAGCGTGCCTACTCTGCAGCTTTTTGCTTTGAAACAGTAACCCCCATCTATCTTGAATTATGAACAACTTGTTAAACTTTTAATTTGATTCACAGAAAACATATTAGGTAATTTCTTTATATGACGTCTCTTACCTGTCTTATTTGAAATCTTCCCTTCTGGACACTGAAGGCAGTCATAGCAGCAAAATGGTTTCCCTTCTATTTTTATCCTACTATAACCTGAAAAGCAATGATCATTGCACACCGAAATGGGTTGTACCTGTTGATAATCAATAATAGAATATTCATATTTTCAACTGTCTCAATTTTAGTATTTAAATATATGCATAAGTCTCTTGAAAAGGAAACTTCATTGAATTTCTTAATCAATACCATGGAACATAGAGCTTCTAAGCATGGCAGTTTGACTGTCCTCCTTGCTAATTTTCATGCAATGAAAATCAGGTCATTTCAGGTACTTTTTCAAGCTCTTTTACCTCCTCAGTTCACTTGGACAATAGGATGCATTCAATCATTTGTT